CTCCCTCCGATGTCATGCTGCCAAATCTTTCTGCTATTACAGTAGATAAAAGGACACTCTGGATTTGCTGAGTGCTTGTCAAGGCAGCCCTAATGCTGAATGTGTCTTTCAGCGCTTTGAACGCGAAACCGCATGTTTTGCTGTGTTTCATTATTTTTTTTATTGGAGTTAAGTTGGTTTGGCGGCAAACTCTTTCACCGTTGAGACTTAGTTTTGTTTTAACGATTAATTTAAAATTATTACATTTAAAAATGTAATTTTAACAAATGAAAAAAGTAGGATGATATTTTATGGCAGTGATATAATGAGATGAATGCCAAATGTGATATACAAATATTTTATTAACATTTAATACAGGAAAATTAATGGAAATATATTTGTTTAAATATAATCGCTACAATGTCCATTAAATGGTCCTTTCATCTGCTTTTTTATAGTATAATTTTTATGGGAATAAATATCACTCAGACTATTATAATTTTGTCAGGTCAAAGAAAACCACTTAGGGTGCATGAGAAAACTTTGCTTAACCTTACAATTAGCACGATGATCTGGATACGATTGTTCTTATTTTGAGATATTCACACAAACATGTATACAGTATAATACAACACTTTAGATAGGGCCGGGGATAATGCAAAAAGAAATTAAATCCTTGATGTCTGTAATCCATAATTCTCCGTATAGATGCTGTAACTTCCCGCTTCACTGTTTTCAGCTCATTCCTCCCCCGGCTTCCTGCCCCTGTCGGCCAGGAATGTCTGCAGAGGATAGTGCCCGAGTGGTGAGTGCCAATGGGCCACTGGGCAATCAATATTCTCCACGCATGCAGCAAATGACACTCACCTAAAATGACAAACCTTCAGAGAATGCCTGATCTTGGGGGCAGAGGGGGCGGATGGGACGGGGTGGGAGGGTGGTCGACCCCCACTGTGACAGCTGATGACATGCCTTCAAGTTTTACTATTTGTTTTAGTTCAGAAATAATAAACTTTCTAATACCCTTGACACCGGTTGGCGCCGCCAATGTGGCCATTGTGTTCCCCCTCCACGGCGATCTCTGCCAACGGCTAACCAGCCCGAAAATCAGAGCTTTATTTCCAGCCTGGTTTTGCGTCAGCTGCTTTGCTGGGCTCGAATTCACATCGACACTAGGTGCGAATTAATCATTCAACATTTCAAAAGCCTGTGCTTTGCCCCCCCCCCATTGTATAAGATCAAAATATAAAACAGTTTTAACACATTGTATTAGCTTGGTCGGCATAAGGAGACGCTTTGAGGCCGGTGAGAGGATCAGGCATCGCAACGGCAATATGTTACAAGCTGTGTACAGAGCTGCCGGTCGATAATGACCATACACGCTAACCGAATTTGTGCTATAGCGGCAAACAGCGTAAATAAAATATTAAAGTGAAATTAAATGTGAGCTGTGGGGAAGATTTGCTTTTAGAAGAGAAAATGGATTCGTAAGGCATTTATTTAAAACAAATGAAAATGGGAACGCTGACAGAAGAGCACGATTTTACAATAACATTAGTCATTAAGTATTAAATGTTTAATTGGTGAACGGGACTTGTTTGTTGCATTGGCTTTGGAACATATTTAGACATTTGTAAACTTTTTTTTGGCACAGGCACACAGAGAAAGCGGAACTTGCTCACACTTCGAGCTGCTTTGGAAACCCCAGCCTTCCAGGCTGCGTGCACTTCTGTCGCTGCATTTATGATTAATTTAGGACTCATAAGAAGCCAGCTTGTCGTTTTTACTGCTAAGAATTGCTGGCAGGTCATTGACAAAGAAACTACATCTTTGAGAATAAAAAAAAATAATAATAAAATCCTATACTAACAAACATAGACCACATCACGCCCAGATCTGGTTAAAAAAAAAGAATTCAAGATGATCAGGTTTATCTTATATTGTTCTATAATACAAGTTACTGTAATGTAAACATGCATCGAGTCTGATATATAACAAGGCTTTCATTAATATAACATATTAATCACTAAATCAGCAGTCATTCAGCTTAAAAGGAATTGTGATTGCAAAGCAGACATTCCCGTACAAAGTACCGCAGCTTTCAGTGTCAGATGTAATCTTACATGTTTAGCAAGTGCTTTTACACAAAGCAACTTATAATTTTGTAATTGATAAGTGCTCTGGGAAACTATAGATGGAAGCTCTTTTGTGATTTGGGACAGGTCATGTGTTCTTGTCCTTCGCAACTATACTATTCACTGTGGTAAGGACTGCAAAGCTTATATGACACTTCCATATAGAGGAGGCCAGATCTGAGCTCGTAGCGAAACCGCTCGATCCTTCAGTGTTGCGGGACTCTGCATGCGTTCGCCGCCATCACCCGAAGACGTCACACTGTACGATGATAGTCATAAGTCTAATGCCAGAAACGTCTAACCATACGAGGTAGTCGAAGTGGGTCGAGGGAAACGTGTTCAACAGCGGCAGGTGACCATTTCCAAACATGGTGGCGTCACGTAATTCCTGGTGCAGCTGACCTGGGATCCCCGTGACATCGACCTGCACGCGGTCAGGACAGCAGTCCAAACTTTCAGAATGTTTTGTTGCCATTTGCAATACTAGCTACAGATTACTGGTAGGCTAGTTATCTTTGACATTTTTTACAACATTAACAACAACAAAAATAATAACTATCATTCACAGGCCGCAAGTAGCCTACAAAATGTTCTTTTTGTTCCAGTATTCGAAAGTGCTGCCAAAAACTTCTATAGTACAAAATCACATTCACGAATGCATATTAGAAACCATTCAGACCATTTTATAGCATGACGTCCATAGTAGGTTCTATACTCCTTTGTGCCAGTCAAGACAGAAAGGGGTTAAACAGGTTTACCGGGTAGTTAGCCAGAAGTTGCCAGGGTTATACATTATAATCTGTAAGACTGAATCGACATTTATGCACATAGTTCCTTGTTAGGTTTGTAAATTTCGACTTGCTCTGTAATAATGAAAATGAACCACTTTTCAAGGTATCCATAACCAGGCTGTGATTGAATAATAATTCATAATTTATTGCTATTCAATATTCAGAAATATAAAATTTATAAAAGTTATAAAAGATTAAGTTAAAAGACAAAGTCGTGGCTTTAAAATAAAATCCTTTTTTTGTCTTTTTCCGTTAATGTTGCCTTCAGCTCTATCATACGAAATTATCGTCAGTGCTGCCTTAGATCTTCGCTACTCAAGTCATATTTCACTGTACATCCATCTACCATAATACATTTATCGCAGACATTTTAAATGTGGAAGTTTTTCACGGACACCCTTTGCACTAAGGACTGCACCACATAACTATTTAATTTGCTCCTTTTCTTCTGAGTGATAATTGCATTCTATAATATCTTCTACACTTCAGTAAGTGTTATTTAAGCCTCCACGACCGGGGTGCATAAGCTTGCCCCGTATAAATAAATAACGAACATGTGCCCCCCCCCCCCCCCCAGTGCATTCGCATAAAGCCTTCACGGGTTAAACGCGACCTCGGACCCTGAACAGCACATGCTTAGGGAGCCCGAAGCCCCGCCCCCTGGTCCGGTCGACCAGCCAATCAGACGGCGAGTGGGCGCCGTCCGGGAATAAATTCAGTATTAGACTGCGCGAACCATCGAGCGAACGGAGGTACCTGCTGGTGCGAGGACGGTACAGGGAGCAGCGCACGGTTCAGCCCCCTCCCCAGCCAAATGTAGTCATTTTAAAGAAAAGAATAATAATACGTGGAGTAAATATATACTTTTTCAAAGGATTTGGAGTAAAAGAATACAGTGTATCCGCTCGGCCGTTGGAGAACTAGGTCCACAACTTATTGTGTTGCTTTTTGATAATATGCTTGATTGTGTCGTGAAGCAGATCGTAACCCCCTTCACGGAGAAGATGAAATTTTTGCACCACTGGATATTACCGCGACTTGCCAACTGGGAGTAAAAACGAGTGCTGAAGCATTCCGAAAGAAGCCCTCTCCGTGTTCCGGTCATTTCTGCTCGTATGCGAATTGCTGATTATTCCGCTCCCCCCTCCCCTGTTGTGCATCATAGGAACTGAACTCTTGTTCCATGCAGTTTACTTTTATGTGCTCCCGCAGCAAAGCATGTTTTTCATTACAACGTCACAGCCAGCATTAAAAAATACCTCGGCACCGTAGCGACGTTTCTGCAGTTTTCTGAATCAGGTAAGAAACTTCATAGTGAATTTTCGCATTTGCTGTACGAACATTTATATCATTATTCTGAATGCTTTAGATCTCTTAATGATAATGACGATTTCGATTACCTTAAATTGCTGTTTATTCAGGACTTACTCCTAACAGTTGACCTCTTAATTACTGACGACATGACATACGACACACGCGCTGCTTTATTTCAGATCCGCTCATCACGAACGTGCAGAATGTGATGTCCCCCCGTGTCGCGCTATTCCAGGTCACAGGACGAGTTTAGAGAGAATGAGGAGTCCCAGGGTGAAGCATGATCCGCTGGCGTGCTGCTTTTAGACTGGTCTATCTGATGCTTCCATGGGAGTGTGTGACGCTGAGCCTGCACTGCTGGGTTATCGCCGTCGTCGCAGCGGGTGCCAGTGATGCCGCTGGATCTCTCGGATGGCTCCTTTCCGATAAAGGGCCTTTTCATCACGCGCAGGAGTTCTCGGAGTATGTGGAGCGCTACCAGCAAGGCTTCACCACCAAGTACAAGATTTACAGGTGAGATGGTTTATGGTACCCCGACCCCCCCCCCCCCCCCCCCCCACACCCCGCACCCCCCCACCGACACACACACACACACATACACAGCCTTTCTTCACCCTTATCCGCTTCAACATAACGATTTGCCATTCAGACAAAACATCACGGTCAAAAAAACGGTAAAAACTGGTATGTTACTGTCCCTTGAATACTTTGATTACCAAAAGAGTTCTTTAGGTGTCTGCCATTCTTTCTCTCAACTTCCATCGCGTTACTGTAACTATATATGAACTTATATATGAACTTATATATGAACGTAATCTTTTGGTTTTTAATTAGTTTTCAGTACTCCTTTCGGTATGGTGATCATGCTGAACCGGCCTCCTTTGGATCGCAATTAAGAAATAGGTTATTGTGATATAATGCTTGCTCACCCCCTGGTGGTGAGATTAAAAAAAAATCTTGCAGGCAAATCTCGCACTTCATACAGTGTAATTATCTCAGGTTTTCAATCTATAATAATTAAATGAATAGTACGTATATTAATGGATACAATACATACACATTTTACTTACGTTTCAATACATTTTCAGGATAATATGGGGAATATATGATTTTAAAATTGTATAATTTAGATACAGTTATTAGAATAATTTGATTTATTGTGTATTCATATATGTGCATATGGGCGTGGATTGGCAATTTCACCTACACAGTTTACAGATACCATTTTCTTCACCTCAGAAAGAAATGTTACTGCCGATGACAACTAATGATATAGAGTTTTGCTGTTTCTTGAATATTTTATTTGCTTAACTATGAAGAGCAAGTATTTCCTCCTTAATTGTACCTGTGCTTGGAATTTAATTTACTGGTTTGTTTGTGCCGTTTGCCGAGGCGGACCGTCCAAGCCTTTCGCTTGCCTGCAGTGTCTCCAAGAGAAACATCAAAGGAACATAAGGGTGTCATATGAGAAAAGAATAAAGAAGTCTGAAGCAGTTTTGTTGGTGATGAGAGATAGACTGTAAGCTTTTTCCGAAGGTTACACTGGGTTTCTGTAGGGAGGGAGGCTTTAGATCCTGGTGTTTTGAGCTCTGCGATAAATCTGACGCCTGATGGGATGTAAATAAAATTCCTAAGTGAGAGGCGTGGGCCCTGCGAACGAGCCGATGCAGTTGCCACACCTGGAGACCTCAGAGTAGTCTGGCTATTATCTTCAGTATGAGAAAAATGTTGCCAGAGGGCGAGGACTTTTGCCTCCAGAAAGCGCCTAGAAATGGAATGATTATCCCCATCAGATGCAGAAGGTCAGCATCTTGAGTCCACCACACAATCCGGGAACAATCCAAGCTTATAACAAATTCTGTTAAAAGTAAATGGGACAATACAATTTTCCTTTGTGTCACCTTCATGTTTAAACATATGTCTGTCTGGAAAGACCGAGGTTTTCTCTCTTTATAGCGATCTATGCAATATGCAAAGCCTAAGAAATATGGGCCGTTATCTTTTTTTCTGTTTGATGGATATTGAATGACATCATAAATAATGGGCACAAAAGATGGTGTGGACATTTGAGGGAGCTTTTCAGGTTTCTATTCTGCATTCAGCCTCATTATAGGAAATATGACTGTCGTAGTTCCCACTGGTGTTGAAGTGCTTTCAGCTTCCACTCAGCCCAGTTCATTCCCTGGTGTATGTTCTGCACTCCAATTCTACGTTGCCCCGGGTCTCAGCACAGGAGCTGTCAGGTGCTTCTTCACAGTGTCCCCCGATGCTCTTCAGTGTGACTGGCCACAGACGATTTAGCCCCGTGTTACCCAACGGCGTCGGCCCATCAGGATACTCCAGCGAGACACAACACGCCGCTCATTATGTAAATGCCGCGTATTAAAATGGGCAGTGATGGATTCATCCTTAAATGGGTTTCTGAGAATTGTTTTTATTTGGCTTGTCAGGGGTGTTGTGGATAATAAGGGCTGAGGGCTTCGCTGTTGTGAATTAGTTATGATCCTGAATGAAATGCTGTTGCATTGTAGGTAATTATGCAGTTTATCTTGAATCATGAAGAACGAATATTAAGGAGAAAAATCTGTCTTTCTTTGATATGGAAAAACTGACGTCTAACTTCATCCTCAAGCATCTAGAAATTTACACAGTAATTCTCTGTATCCTTGAGAATATTTGTGCAGTTATTTAATTTGTTGAATAAAATGATGCAGGTAGTTCACCATAAATAAAATAAATAAAAATAAAATAAAAGATTTTCACTGTAGTTATATTGACTTTAACTTAAACAAAGTAGTAATAAAAGGCTGTATTTTAGCACTTTTACACATATCTGTATTTAATCATCTATTTTGCTCATTTGTTTATTGTTGTAAAATTAATTTAACATCTGGCTAAACGCCAGAGTCAGAGCCATCAAGGTTTTTAAAGAATGCAGCCTGGTGGTTTATCAAACTCCTTACTGATGCAATAAAGACTCATTTTTCTGACAGGAAGGACAATTGGCCAGAGTTCAACAGGAAATATGTGGCACAATCAGTCTTAAGGGATACAAATAATATGATAGATCATTTCTCTATTCCCCTTTAGTACCCATTAAGCTCCTTATAAGTGCATCCCGATGCATTTTCATCAAGGGCATTTCAGCAATTCGTATACACATATCACTGATCTTGGCTACAAAATATCATGTCGACATTTTAGAATGCTGCTCTGGCTTCATTATGGAAAGCTGTGCTGCATAACTGCTGTTGGAAAGTCATGGTTTTTCTTCATACTCATGTTTCGTTCCCTAGTGTTCGTGGCTCCAAATCAGTGTTACATTTTCCTTTTTTTTTTTTTTTCCTGTGCTATACCGCGGCGTGACGGAATTACACAGACCTTAGCTGAATTGAAATCCCTTGCTGGCAAAGCTTAACTGGTCTCCTGTCGGCCATGTAGGTGGCAGAGGGGGTATGTCCGAGGTGAAAGGCAGGTTTTTGTAACTGGATGAGTGCTGTGTGTTGCCTTGTAGAGAGTTCGGTCGCTGGAAGGTCAACAGCCTGACGCTGGAGAGGCAGGACAACAATGGCCTGGCACTCCCGCTGGACCCGGACTTTGTGCAGAACATCAGGATGCTGGGTCGCAGACCCGACCTCCGAAAGATCACCGAGAGCATCATCAGGAAATACGGCACCCACTTTCTGCTCTCAGCCACCCTGGGAGGTAAATGGAGGCCTCTTTCGGTCCTTACCTTGTTTCGGTGGTAATCACAGAGGCAAACAGTTCAACTGGATTTTCTGGGCCAAGGAAATATTCAAATCAGAATCACTTGGCATCAGTTTTCCTGTGTGTACTCCTCATTTTCAAAAATGCCAAAAATGTTTTCCACGTCTGGATGTTTGATGGCAGGAATCGAAAGGCAGATTTCCAAAACTCACTCAGTCGGGCTCCCTTATGATGTTACTGTTTTGGGAACCAAAACTCACTCAATCCTTGTGTAACCCAACAAAAGAACTTTCGATAAATTTCCAAAACTCACTCAGTTGGGCTTCCTCATCATGTCACAGTTCTGGGAACCAAAACTCACTCAATCCCCCTGTAAGCCAACAAAGAACTTTCATTAAATTTCCAAAACTCACGCAGAAATTTTCTGAGTTCTCAATTCAAGTCGTATCCTGTGGACTGAGTGAGTTTTGTAACCGTGCTCTTCAACTCCATTTCAGCACCTTGGTCAGGGCATGATGAGTCTCTCATGGGACGTTCCTTACCACACCTCAGATCACCAGCGCATTCTCAAGCATGGTGCCTCTGCTTTACATCTGAACGGGTCACCTCCTGCCTTATGTTACTGCTCAAGTGTTCTTGCTTTGCAATACAAGCTCCCTACAAAAGGCTGTTTAGTCTAATTTGGCGGGTGTGGGGGGGGGGGGGGATGAGCCTCATTACAGAACTACTCTGCCAAAAGCAACTCACTGTGTGACTGTAGTCTATAGCTTCGAATCACACAAACAGCACACCAGTGTGATTTAGCAAACGGGAGCTGACTAAACTTGAAGCTGGGCATTGGCATCCGACGCTGTGGATTAGCACTGCTAGGCTTTTCTGGTTTTATTAATATCTTTTTAATGTTGCTCTCCTCTTCACTAAACAGGGGAGGAATCTTTGACAATATTTGTGGATAAGAGGAAGCTGAGCAAGAGGGCGGAGCTGGGGGAGTCGAACAGCACAACGGTAACCCTGGAAACCCTCCACCAATTGGCCGCTTCCTACTTCATCGACAGGGAGAGTACGCTGAGGAAATTACACCACATTCAGATTGCATCCACTGCCATCAAGGTAAAAACACACACACACACACACACAGGTTTGTAATTATATGTTTGTGGAGACACTACATTCCTTTCTATGGGGAAAAGTCTAATCCCAACATGTTGCCCTTAACCCCTACCCAGCCCTAACCTTAATCATAAGTAACCAAACAAAATATGAGACTTTTGGCATTTGTAGTTTTTTGGTTGCATTCACAGATCTTTGTGGGGACCTGAGAATTGGTTCCCACAACATCAAAATAACAGGTTTTTATATATTTTTATTACATTGTGGGGGACATTTGGTTTCCACAATGTAGTTTAAACATAATCCTCACAATGACACACACACACACACATATATATACCTCATTCCTGTTATAATGCTGGCCTCATCACCACTAGTATTTAGAAGACACTTTTTTTGCCATTTCAGTAAGAATATATAAACACAACATTATATACATAACACAATATTATGCATTCATAAAGCATTATAAACATGGCTATAAATATTTATTAAAAAGGCAAAACACAATATAGCCATGTTTATTATGCATTATTAATGCTTTTTGAAGCTCTCTTCTTTAATGCACTATAGATACCTTCATAATGCAGTACAAAGCAACCTTAATGCATATACCGACCATTATAATACATTATAAAGGTATCTATAATGCGAGACGAAAGCTTCATTGTAGTTTATGAAGTATTATAATCAACACTATAATGCCTTATGACTGTCAAATGAAGATGCTGTAATGCTTTATTAATTCTTATACCAGCCATCATAATGCATTATGAAGGCATCCATAATGGATTATAGATTGAGTTAAATTCAATTTATTTTTATATAACACCTTTCATAGTTGCCCCAAGGCACTTAATTTTATTTATTTTATTTAACCTTTATTTCACTAAGAACAATTTCTTATTTACATTGATGGCCTGGCAAAAGGCAAAAGAACGTTTGGAGGACAAGGGGTTAGGACATAAAGACACATAAACAAATAACACAAGCGCTTTACATGGGTGTGATGTGATGCATTTCTGCATGATTTATACCGAATGACAGCTTGACAGCTTCAAGTACAATGTTACTGAAGTTTGTACTAAAATTAAGGGCATAGTTTTGGTTTTCAGTATTGGTAGGGACATCTATAGTCAAATCTATGCCCTTGATTAAAATAGATAATATATTTTTTTGTCCTGAACCAGTGATAAGTCCTTTATAAACAGTACCAAAGCAAAGCTCTGCATTTTCTCTAGTCAGCTTGTTATCTTGGGTGGGAGTTCATTTGTAAACTCCAAGTAATTTTTAAAGATTTTTTTATTGCTTATGCTTCATAAAAAATACATTACTTTTCCATTAGAAGATTATCAATGTTAATATAAGAAAGCTACAAATCATTCCAATATGTTTATTCCCTGATGCCTGAATGCGGTGACTCTGTTCCGGAATATCTATTCCGATCAGTGCATCGATCAAAGCTGCGGTGCGGAGCTCATTTAGCAAGCGGTAAACATGGGAGCCAATCCATCAATGTGGAAGAATGTTTCTTTAAAAAACAGCAGCCAAATTACTTTCTAATACACACCAATAAGAAATTGATTTTTTGTGCCGTGTAGGAAGAGCTACTGGAGAGTAACGCCGTGTTTCGTTTAAACTGATGCCTTAACGGAGTATATTATATTTCAGTATGTAATATAATACGTTTTAATGTTTGACTTTATGGGTTCTTCATGAGGCTGTGTGGCACATCAGCTTCCTGCCGACAGGGGATTAAAGAAACAGAGAAAATAATGGTTTTTCTGGATCTAGTGGTTTTTTTTTTTTACAGGAAGTTTGGCTGATAGACGCCTTCACGCCATCAGCATTTTATAATTCAAGGCACGGACTTTTATTTTGAATTTATAAAGGCTAATGTGAGAGCTAAGCATTCAGTCATCCTATAGACAGACAGAATCAGCTCTGCTCCTGTTAACGTGGAGAAAGAAGATATAAAAAAGGCACAGGAGTGTGGCGCTACGATAATTCATCATATTTCTGTAATTTATTTAGATGGCTCACCCCATTTGTCAGCTATTTCTGATATGAGGTAGACGTCAAATGCTAATGAATGGAAGAGTTATGGGAGCCGTGTTCTACAGCGCCGATAATAAATGGTGCTTTAGCATAACATGCAACGGCGGCCACGTGGAGGAAGGCAGACTAAGTGTTCTGGCGGATGCATATAGCGGCTTTTAATGATGATTTACAGCTGCACTGCAGTGGCGCCCATCCGTTTACGTAGAATTTTATTGCGCTTAGGAGTCAAAGCCGAAATCCATCACGGGCTCATGAGCTCTCCGGTGGCAGCCGGGGGGCCCGTTTGTTTGGATTCAGGGGGGCCACGTTCAGTTTTGCCCGCGAGCCCCCGACCCGAACGGGTCTCGTGGTCGATGCGTGCGATCCGTCCATCTTCCCATCCTGTACTTAAAATCACGGCGAGGGGCCGCTAATCGACTCCTACGATGTGAATGTGCAGTAAGACAACTAAGACAAGGGTAATTAAGATGGTACAGTTCTTGGACAGATGCCTTGTTCATTTCTTATACCTTCATCAGTTACTCAGTGTGGGTTTATTGGAATGTGACACGCCCACAAGAGGGGAAACATACAGCATGCAGACAGGCTACCGTGCCAGTGTCGCGCTTCATTGGACATGGAGCGTTGGTTATGCACTCTGACCTTTCTGGCTCTGCCCCCTAATATCTGCAGCAGAAGAGTAAACATCTGCTAAACGTTTTTTTTTGCAATTTCAGTAAGAATATGTGAACCAGGATAGCTATTTCAACCAGGATGGCGATCAAGTTGCAATAAAAAAAAATATATAGACTGTGGCATGAAATCGTAATTAATTTATTGAGCAAAGTACTGAGGTTGAGTCCTTTGTGAAACAGGCTTTGCTAGGGAATGGAAAGGTCATAGTGGTATAATTTTTCATCATACAAAAATGTTACATCATCATAGATAATTAAATATTAGCACAGTATAAGCAAACAGTTAACCCATCCACACAATTGTAGCTTATCCCATGATGGACTGAATTAATATAAAATGGCTTAAGTTTAAAATATGCTTTTTTTTCTTCTTTTATACAAAAATAAAGCATATGCCTTTTTTTTCCACGGGGCCTTGTCGCACATCTGGTCTCATTGCCATGCAGAGAGACTCGTCCTCATATTTGCATTCAGCAATTTTTCCCTTTAAGTCGGACATCTGTCTCAGTTAGGAATTAATCTGCCGATCCCAGAAGAGGCTTCTTGGATTTTAATTAATTGCATGGAAGCACCAGTAAAAAGGGATGTATGAGTTAGCAGCGGCTGAGCTGAAAACCAGCCTTTCTCACTTAATGTCTCATTGGGAAGTTACTTCAGCTTTAATATGGTGTAGAAAATTAAATAGATTGCCTCTTAGATCATGGATAGCGCCTGCTCATGTACATTTTAATTATATTCTCTAGATATTGGATTTTTTTTTTCCCTCCTTGCCAGCCTGCGGTTGCATTGCGCTGATTGAAGAACATTAAAACTCAGGTGTGTCATTCATTCTGCTGTACTATTCGCCATCCTCTCCAGAGTGACCCTAAAGATGATGTCAACGGATGGTGATTTTTTTTTTTTTCTGTGCACAGAGGAAGGGGGCTGTCATTGATTTAGAAAGGCAATATGGCAAAATTTATTATCCCTGCAGGAAAATGACATAGCAAGCCACCATTTTGCCGGGAATCATTTGTAAGTGACAGGGAGCGATGTACTCGCAGAGAAAATGGCAGTTTGTCTTCTGGAATGACATGGAACCTTGATTTACAGTAGCTTCACGTCAGAATTTTATGAAGGACGGCCCGGCAGCGGTTATGAAGACATTAATGCAAAGATAAGCGGCAGAAAGGTCCTTTTTTAGATCAGCCTGCCGGGTTAATGTCAGAGGTCGAGCTTTTTTTAATACGAGTGCAGAATGACTGTTTATTTTGAGTCTTTATTTTTCTCTGTTTGGCAACGCTGCCAACTGCATTCTGGGTATTCCAGGTGTTTGAGAAACAGGGGTGGTACCAGTGTCTGTACCATACCTTAGCATCTCAATACCGAATGAGGATGCCAGCCACTGACCTCAAAAGCTCTTAACCAGATGGGGCCATTTGCTGCTCTGAAATAAGCCGATCTGTCAGATCTTTCTCTGAAAGTCATTTAACGGAACTGGCCAGTCATATGACAGATGTGGCATTAGCGTTATGGATGAATTAACCATGTGCATAAATAGGGATTTTTAGAGCCATTCGCAACACGTTAATGTCTGTTAGCTGCAGCCTTGGCGTGGGGTTATTTGTGACTGTGTATGAATTATAATTTACTGTGTTGCTTAATATATGTATTTTAATTTTTTTCTTGTACTTTTATTTCCCCCCGATAATTACAACACACATGTCAGATTCTGTTCTCTGTCTCCCGTTTAGGTGACCGAAACCAGAACGGGTCCTCTCGGATGTAGTAACTATGACAACCTCGATTCTGTCAGTTCTGTTCTAGTTCAGAGTCCGGAGAACAAGATCCAGTTACAAGGTAGAGCGTTTGAAATGAGATCCACGCATCAATCGTTTTACATGAAATAAAAGAGCAGTTTGATGTTTTGAACTAATATCATATTCTGGACAAAGCTTAGAATGTTTGCAAACTTTACTAAAACCATGAATTCAATTGAGTGTGCAATTTAGCAGTTTTAATGTCCACGTCTTCACATATTTTTGAAGGTTCAAAGCCATAAAAACACCTTGAAGCCACAGCCATCAAGCCCCCCCCCCCCGCACTCTAAGATACTGACCCCGAAATGACAGTGAAACATTGGTTACAAACAACAGAGTTTATGTTTTACCGTCCAGGATCTCGTGGCCTAAAATAGGGCATTATTGCCGTCCCTTCAGGCTGAGCTAAATGCCCTTGTCCTGCACGTAGCAGGACTCACCTTGAGCCGGTAATGAGCCAGTGTAGCATGTGGACCAGGACCGTTGGCTTTTGACCACTTAATTCCCAGTGTAACTTGCGGCATTTCCGTCCTCACAACAAATACCTTGGGCATAACCTAAAGTCAGCATTCCCCCCTGAGAGCAAGTTTTAGGAATCTGTGTACTTTAGAACATTAGTTTTCGCAACTATCACTCTGGAATTTCAGAACAAGAGGCAACAGAACCCCAACCAAAAGAAAAACAGTCCGACAAAATGGCCATTTTTCCCCCAGAATTCTCTTCCCAGAATTATCTTGAATTCTGTACAGGCTATTTGAAACAATAGAATGTGCCCTTGTTTTTATATGCTGAAGAGAAGGTGCAGGGTGGTTGGGAGGAGCCTGTTTTCACAGCCGTCCTCCTGGTTCTCGGCAGGCCTGCAGGTGATTCTGCCGGATTACCTGAGGAGCCGCTTCGTCCAGGCGGCCCTGAGTTACATCGGCTGCAACTCGGAGGGCGAGTTCGTGTGCCGGGGCAGCGATTGCTGGTGCCAGTGCCATGCTGAGTTCCCGCAGTGCAACTGTCCCGAGGTGGACCTGCACGCCATGGAGAACAACCTGCTGCACATTAAGGAGGCCTGGATGCTGGCTAACAAGGACTTTGAGGAATCAGGTGTGAAGATGGTGATCACTGTGAGGATGATGATGATGATGATGATGATGGTGATGATATTACAGGCAGTCCCCAGGTTACGAACGAGATCCGTTCCCTAAGTCTGTACCTGACTTTGCGGGTAAATCGAAACAAAAATAATAGTAGTAATAATGCAGTAATTAGAAAAGTAGCTACATATGTTACTATGGTACTTCGAGCTGATGAACCTGGAAGCCATGCAATGTTTTCATGAGCGTCACAAATTAGTGCAAGTGATTATTATTACGAACCACTGTATTTAGCTCAAATTTTTCATATAATAGGCTTTGTGGCAGCTCATTCATAAGTGCTAGTTGTCTGTAAGTCGGACGTTCTTAGCTGCCTGTATTATTATCATATAATGATATTATATGACAAGGGGTGACATAGTGGCTTGTTCCACTTATCCCGGTGACCTTTTCCGATAGTATAAGCAGGATTATGAGGGGTCTGGAGCCTAAGTCGTTGGAATTTGGATGGATGGATGGATGGATGATTATATGTTTAATCTTAGTAGCCACTTCTGAACAGGGGCTAACAGGCCTTTATTGATTTTTATTGATTATGTCAATTAAAGATATGAGCCAGATTTTTTTTTTTTATCTTGGAATCTATGACTCATAATCTAATTCAATGCTCATAGTCTTTACCAGGCCAAGTAATGACATCTAGATGCTGTAACCACACAACTGCATGGGAAAAAAATATCCCAGAAATGGTTCCCATTGCATATTCTTAATGGGACTATGGAAGGCTGCTTGCTGATCCTGTTTAAAATACTCTTTGGTTAAACAGACTACGAGTAGCATCACCAGTGATAAAAAAAAAGAAGCTTCCTTTAATTTACCTCTGCAGGGCGACTAACGCTGGCCGTCAAAGTTACACGGCCCTCCGAGCTGGTAGAACCAGGTCATGTTTATTACTTTCACTCTGTTTCACTTTAAATGGCTGCCATATACGGTCGAGGGGCCCTGGCCATTTACCAAGGCTGGCAGTAGCGATTTGTGGCGCGCTACCAATAAACCGAACGGAATAGAATGTTTTTGTGGCCTCAAAGCAGACGTTTGGCTTGCGCCGGTTACAAAATGCAGAGCAATCTATGGATCCCTTTTCATTCAGGGGACACTTTAATAAAAGCAGACCGGCCAACGGCAGATGTGACTGTTCTTATAAAAAAAAAAAAAAGAAAAACACGTAGCGTAACAGTGTCCACAAACTGGGTTTGTCAAATGTCCATTTTCAAGAATTACTTTTGCCCGGCTCTGCTCTCCATAGCCATTGAAGAGGTATTTATTTGGCCAAAAAATCCAGTCTGGCATGACAAAGCCTCTGGCACACATGGGTGCTATGGAGCGGAATCTATTGTTTTGCTTTCCCCCATATGGGAAATGGGGATCTGGGCATTCTTTAAATTTGGACTATTAATTACAAACATAGTGATAACACATGTGAGTATGAGGTTAGTAATGGATGGATGGAAATAGCAGGGAAATAGAATTTAACATGCATGTTCAGGCTTAAGCGTGAGCACCAAAAAGGAAAACGCTGACGAGCAATAAGCCATGCACGCCTGTCTTCCTTTTCAGACGAGTTCCAGTTTTTCGTGAGCAGGCTGCCAACGTCCTACGCCTTGAACACGTCTGCCATTCAGTACTTCTGGAAGACGGACGCCACCATTCAGCAGCGCTACAGACAGCTGGAGACTAGCGCCGGGCTGCTCCTGAGCAAAGCCCGCAGGATTGTTAACAAGATCTTCACCCTGAGCAAGAGGTGCCGCACACAGCCGAAAATAATAGTGCAGAAAGAAAGGTGAGGAGTATTCCGGGCTTCCTATCGACGCGGGCATTCCAGAATCTCTCGCAGCAATTATGCTAATGAGACGAGTACACTAAAAGACGTTCCGCGGCATCGGAAAGTAATAACGTTGCTGAAAAAAAAGCTGATGCTATAAGTACGACTTTCGTGTTTTCTCCAGCGCCCGTTTGGAAACGATGAGGACGGCATTTTAAGAACAGCCCAGCAGCAGAATGATCTCATTAGTAGGGCTGGGCGATTAAAAACAATGTATGCAAAGCTGCCTTTACTTCAAGTCTTGAAGGAAACTATACAGGCCTTAGTGTCTGATCGATTGTTTGTGTCAGCCATCCAGTTTCGATAAAAGTTTCCAAACAGGAAATGACTCTAGTGGCACAATCCATCAGTTGCATATATATATGCACTGTCAAATATGATTTTTGCACTGAAACTACTAGAATCCAATTACACAACCTTTATTGCGCTAACACCGTTTGCATGAAGCTACAAAAATGGTTGTCAGATAAGTAGATTCTTCATCACGGATATTGTTTTCGTTGTATAAGATATGCATTGTTTCATTCCTCCTACTTTTATGCCGATCCTTTTTATTATGGCCCATTCAGATTTTTGTCATTGTCCCATAGTCATAATTCATGACAAAGTAGGTAATACGCAACAAATGAATGCATTTGGATTCCTCGGCTGCTTCCCCCCCTCCAGCCGACCCCCCTCGACTCCATCTCTGTGAAAATTGCTGCAGAAATCTAATCCATTACCACCCACCTGCTAACTTCCCCTCTCCCAGGCAGCCCACCGCCGTGAATATTTACATATTTCTTTGGCATAGCTAGTGGAGGACAAGCGAACTGTTTCCTCACAGTATAGGGAAAAAATGTTGTACGTGGTGGAATAGACATCTGCCTACCTGCCTGACTGATTATTCTCGTGGCTCTGAACATATGCTGTGGTGTGCTAATGATGAAAGCAAATATATTTTTATGTTATTAATGAAAGTTTACACAGAAAATAAGCATCTTTCAGTGAAATGGCAACTTTCTGATTCATAAAGAAAACCTTTCTTTAACAGTTCTTTGACTTGCTTTATACTTTGGTTCTATATGTTAGATATTTTCTTTTCAGTCACATGGACATAGAAACACAAAACACTTTCTCCCTTTCGAAATTACTTTTCCTTTGTGACCCACCAGAGCATTGAAAATGTTGCCTTGGGAACTTTGTTGAGATTATTGAGCACAAGTTGAAGGCCCTCAAGAAAACAATGATGTTTTTACAAGAATAATATCACAATGAGACTGCATTTATAGATGCAATGTTTAAATTTCACAAGCAAAAGGTTTGGCTGGTGCACCATTCAGACCGAATGGTGTAACACTGAATATCTGAGACACGTTTATGGTGAGACACTTATGTTTTGTAGATCAATTGCTCCCATGTGGTGAAATGTAAAGGTTGAGCGTTCTAAATTGCCTCCCACTGTCACATAAAGATTAAAGACCTAGAAAATTATGTAGGGAGATTTATAGTTTATGTGGTTGTAAATAACTGCTGGGGTTTGTACGTGTGTTTTTGTGTTTCTATTAGGTCTCTCAACTACTGGCTCAATTTTATCCTGTCCATCATGTACTGCAGTGAAAATAATCACATTGGGATCTATACAGAAGAGACACGGAATTGCCTTTGTCCCTATGAGCACCTGACTTGTCAAGGAGTCATTCCCTGCACGGTTGGGGATGGCCCCAGTTGTGCCTCCTGTGCTTCGGAGAATCGAACAAGGTGTGCGAGTTGCAACCCAGGCTACATGCTGAGCCAGGGGACCTGTCGGCACGCTGTGCCAGACTCCACGGATCACTACATCGGCTTTGAGACGGACCTGCAGGACCTGGAGATGAGGTACCTCCTTCAAAAGCGCGACAGCCGCCTTGTGGTGCACGCCATCTTCATCAGCAACGACATGCGGCTGAACCACTGGTTCGACCCGTCCTGGAGAAAGCGGATGCTGCTCACACTCAAAAGCAACAAGTATAAATCAAATCATGTCCACATGCTCCTTGGAATTTCCCTTCAGATTTGCCTTACTAAAAACAGCACCTTAGAACCGCTGCTCTCTGTTTATATTAACCCGTTTGGCGGCAGCCATTCAGAGAGCTGGATCATGCCCATCAATCAGAACAGTTACCCAGACTGGGAAAGGACTAAGCTAGACATACCTCTAGATTGCTACAACTGGACGTTGACTTTAGGCAACAAATGGAAAAGCTTTTTTGAGACGGTTCACTTCTACCTACGGAGCCGCATAAAAACTACATCGGCTCAAGGAAATGTGACCAGCTATTACGAACCACTGGAGGCCATGGAGTCATCTCAGAACTTGGGTTACATGAAAATAAACAGTATGCAGTTGTTCGGCTACAGTATGCACTTTGACCAGGAGGCGATTCAGGATCTGATTCTGCAGCTAGACTATCCGTACACTCAGGGATCCCAGGACTCTGCTTTGCTTCAGCTCGTAGAGATACGAGACCGCGTCAACCGACTGTCCCCGCCCGGGCCACAGCGACTGGACTTGTTCTCTTGCTTGCTTCGACACCGGCTCAAACTATCAGCCTCAGAAGTGGCCCGGATATTAGCTGCTTTGCAGTCATTTAGCGCCAAACAACCATACTCGATGGAATACGACGCAACCAAGCTATGTAGCTAATAAGGGTGTGTGGAAAAGCATAGCAAACATCGGTTAAGACACTGTACAGCATACAGGCCTCATTACACCTGCATTGTTGAGTAAGGAATTGGAATATTTTCATGGTGGAGGGCTTGCTTCAACTTTCTAGGCTAACGTTAGTCTTGAGACAGCAGAAGTACAATAAGGACTCACTGCCTTTACATTTGATACATGTTACAGCAATTTGGGATGTTTTGGAAACAGTGACAACCATAATAATAATGACGTGGTTTTGCCTGGAAATCCATATCAAAATGATATAATTTCCATGCTCAATGACTTGTGAAATCCGTGTAAGAAATGCAACAATTGGCCCAGGAGTTTTTTTATGCCTTTGTTATAATTTAAATCCTAACTCCGCATGATCCTTCTATGTTTCTTACTTGATAATACAATATACTGAATCTGCAACCTCTCTGTTGTGATCAGGGCCTCAAATGACCTTTTATTTAATTGTATTTAGTATTCACTAATATCCGTATCTATAGTTCCTGTTTCCTGTTGTTGTTTGTTATGAATATTTTTATAAGTATTTGTAAACAAATCAACAAAGTATTCAAGAAACGAACACCCATTCAGCAAACGTTCCTGCAATATTTGCTGTGGCTGTTTTTCTTTTATACGGTTTGATGTTTGTGATGGATTAAAAAGGAGGTCAAAATGAACTACATATTCAATTTGTTAATATTCAAATAAAAGTCGTTTTAAGTGCAGTCTGTAAATTAAAGAACTACGTTTTTGTAAATCAGATATTTGCTCTTTGATATTTTACAGGTCAGAAATGAGTCTTAAGCATTTTTAATGATCACTTCACATAATTTTTTATGAAGTTACATCTTAAGGAATTACATAAAATACTTTAATTTCATAATTCATTTAGTGATTTAATTCTTCATTGAGTTATATAAACTGAACTTAAAAATAGCAGATTCAGCTTATGTAGACTATAAAGTAAATACAATGGTTTTAGTATTATGTTTAATTCAACAACTATGGGAAAGGTGCTCAGTTATAAGGGATTATGGGATATTCTAGCCTTTGCTTGGTGTGGCTTGAATTATTTTGCAGTCCATAATTCAAGTTGTAACCCCCCCCGGAAGTTTCATTATACTGGCGAAATGAAATTGTCAGACCACATTTATTATCATTTGAGCATCTGTTGCACGTGAAATTGCCCCGAGAAACGGCTTCTGTGTAGCACGTGTGAGAAAGCGAGTTGTCACCCTGGTTTGTATGCGGCGGTGAGAGGCCTGTACTTCCTCCCAGCACCCGAATGGGCCGAGAAGCTGCTTCGCTCAGCAGTGTTCAGCTACCTAAGCGCGCTACAAATCAGTAATGTTCAACGGAGAACATCAGCTTCGGAAATGGGCGACAAAGCAAATCTAGATGCGAAACGTTGAGAAAAGCATAGCCTATTTACCCTGGTTGTTCATCTGAGGATAGTCATGGAGTAACTGATTTGGTGCATTATACTTAATTTATTACCTATTTTACATAAAGTAATGATACATCTAATGCATCCTGTTTTATTTGTTGCTGTCTATTAACTCTAGTTTTGCACACTACATACATCTTAGATTGCGACATATTATTCATGCGCCCTCCTACGGAAAGCAATTATTTTGTCACATAGCTAATTTCTAAAATGTAGCTGCTGGTAGCTGAAGGCCAGTAATGGGGTCAGTTTCTCCTGGTATTAATCGTGAACGTATCTGCAGAATGCGGTATTGTGTGTTCGGCCTCATGCTGTGCACCGTGCTAGTTTTTTGCTTATCAGCAACTTTTTCGGGTAAAGCTTTACATTAACTGCAGCTTCATAACGCATTCATAGAACGTTCAGTGCACCTTCATAACGCATTCATTGAACGTTCAGTGCACCTTCATAAAGCATTCATTGAACATTCAGTTCACCTTCATAATGCATTCATAGAACATTCATAAGTAGCATGTAAGTATACCTTGTCATCCTAACACACCTTAACAGCTTTGATATACATTAATAACAAATATTATGTAATCGTAATGTTTGTTATTATGACATAATATATATTATTAATGTATATTATATCTGATATGGTATGTTAGCATGTTACGGTATACTTAGATGCTGCTTACGAATGTTCTATGAATGCATTATAAAGGCAATATGTAAGTGCAGTTAATGTAAAGCATTACCCTTTTGTGCTTAGTGCTTAACAGTTACTGCACATTTTTTTTAAGTTGTGTATTTTAAAGCTCTCTCTGTAAGGCTCCTTCAAGAGCTCATTTGTAAGAATAAGTTGCAAGACAATTCATCCTTAAAATGCCTGGAGGAGAAGCACAAAATATATCTAGTCTTAAACTTACTTGCTCACTTGTCCTATACATGAACTTTTAAAATTCTTTTTTCGCTTATCACGGAAGCAATAGAGCTAAATAACATAAGGAAGAAAAGAGACAAGGAGACCAATACAAAAAGGGCTTGTATAGCTTGAGTCGTACAAGCAGCTGTTTTGACAGGTTATTACTGCATGCATGTCTTGTCAAAAACCGTATTTCAAAAAATTGTAAACTAATAATGCTTTTCTTTTTTTTTCTTGGCTCTGCCTTGCATGACATTTTATGGTGCATGTTAAGCGAAAGAACTCACATTAATGGAGAAAAGCACTATTTTGTGTATATGGGACGGACGTTGTATACGCTGGCACACCTCATACAGGTTTACACCACTGAACATTCCAGTAAAATCTAGGTTATCTTCCATACAATGACCTACTCCGCCCCCACCCCCACCCTTTTGGTCACTGGGACAAATTTTATAACAGCTTTACATATGTCTACAAAAGTGGATTGTTTGTTAATTAAATAGGAGTCTAGATCAATTCTTAAAACCTTTTCCCAAATCAATTTGTCGTTTCTTCACTTCAGCACAGAAACACACACAGACACAGACACACACGAACACACACACACAAATATACCTGTGTTTTACTGCTTGGAAATTGAATGAGGCCAGGAGGAAGTGGGTGGGGGGGATATCTATCCTGGCAGTCTACCTCTGTCAAATTCTAGGTCAGTCAGTGAAGTTATTTGATATTTTAGGTGACCTTGAGCAAACAGGAATTTCCAATCACAGGAAACGTCTCGTACTGTTTGTCCTCTTAAATAGATTGGTCTGCCCATAGAGAAAAAGAAATTGAATACCACCTTCTCTATTTCAGTACAAGTCTACTCACTCCTCTGGCTTCTAGCTAACACCAGGTATGAGCGTCCAAAGAATCTTATTTTATTCTTGTATGTGTCCTCTTTTAATATTTCGGTTGATTTCAGTGAACATTGAAATTAGCCACAATTTCAAAGAATTTTACCTGTTACGATTCTGCAAAATTCATAACTTTCCCTCATCTTCCTGATATTACTGAACATAAATGTATAAAATATTAATACATACATGTAATCGCAGACAAAGTTAGCTAACATTGTGTTTTATTACTGAATGTATTATCTAATTTTATTTGTGTATTACAATGTATTCTTGTTGCATACGGTATCTCATGTTGACGGTTTAATATTTTTGACGTAACTTGTTTTAATTGCTTACTGACATGTTGCTATTATATGTTGTGTATTTTTTTATGAGGCTCATTTTTTTTCTCTCGAAGCTTTTTCTCTTGCAATTTACATGCATTATTAATGATGCCCAGTAAGCGTCGGCAAACATTTATATAATTCAGCCACGTGCTTCGTCCATAATTCACAATTCACCTTTCAGGCTGCTGCTGCTCTCAATTTGCCTGTGGCACAAACTCTCTCCATTCTTCACTGTCAGAACGGAAGCTATGGAGAAGTTAAATATAAAGCTCCCAAAAGACTAAAGGAGACACACATGAAGAACATGTAAACAGCCTTAAAGTTCATGTATTTATAATGATAGCTTAATAGTGGCCAAAGTGGCCACGCCCCCCAGTGTGGCCACGTCCCTTCAATAACCATGGATTCAATAAGGCTCACCGTACAGTTTTTCTTTTAAATGAGCTTGTAAATAGTTCTCTGGTCAGGATAAGAAAGCGAACAATGGGATTTTGATTTGCGGGGCTCAGGGGATCAAAGATCCAGTAAGGACAGGGCTGAAAGCACATCTGTCACCAAAAACAAAATTATTATTTCAGCAGGAATAAAAAAAAAAAAAAAACAGCAGCAGTACATTTACGGGCGGGGAGATCTCAGGGTGTTGGGACGGTTCAATTTTGGAGGGGACAAAAAGACAGAAGAACATCGATTCATACGCATTGCGAGGAAAGAAGGACAGGTTGAAGTAATCAACACATTAAAAGCCAATCACATGACACTACCTAAGCCACGCCCACTTTACACGGGTTTCTGTTTTTTTTTAAAAGAGAGATGTGGGAGATTTTTGGGGATGGAGAGTGGGAGATAGATGAAGAGTGGCTTGTTTTTATTGTGCAACCAGCAAAAGAAGCAGCAGAGCAAAAATATTCATTTATAAACATTCATATTTAATATACACACCATTCCGCTGTGTACTTTCTCCTCAGCCTTTATTTACATAAATTTAAATTTTGTCCGCTGTGCCCAGCTTGAGTTGACAGATAGTTCAGCGCTGCAAAAGCACCTTTTTTTAGCCGTATCTCCTCACTTTTGCATGATTTTAATTTTCACCGGCACCTGTGTAATTAAACTGTGTGCAATGCTGTCCATTTCCGCTGCCTAGGTCTCAGTAAATCTGCCCATTCAGGAGGTCGGGCCGCAAATGCTCAGTGTAACGTTTTACTAAAAATGCACTTCCCTGCCTCGGATCCATCACCAGATTTATCTATATAAATAGTCCCTCATAAGACAGTTTGGCTTTTTTTAATTTTTCAATTTAATTCCCTCTCTCTATGATGCTTGTTATGACAGTAATTATCACACCAGCAATAGTTCTTCAGTAATATCTCATTTTTATTCACTCTATTGAAAGAGGCTTATGAGTTTAATAGTTTTTAATATCTTTTCAGGCTTCATCTGGCCTGATCATTAATACTGCCTTTTTTGCCTTACCAATACATTCCACCTCCCCCCCAATCTATGCAGTACTCGTTATCTATAAATGGAAATTGTGCATTTGTGTATATGCGATACTACTTGGTTCTTTTAATCCTTGTTCTTTAGACACTCCTTGGGTATTTCAGGTATCCGGCTCCTTCACCCTGTATAAGTTGTAGCATTGTTCCCTTCATTAACTTAAGCATGCTCTCCATATCCGCATGCCCCCCCCCTGAAACCTCTAACTGAATATGTGGGTGGATATGAATATTATTCAGTTTTAAGTACCTGACAGTAATGACTCCTGTAGCGGTTCAAATGTTCTCCATCTTTCTTCAGAGCTCTAGTGTGATCATTGGTGGGAGGAAGCAAAGACGTGGACTGTCTGCAGGTCCCTCAGGAACGGGTTGGGAGACACTGCTTTAGGGGACGGAAGTGGCAGGCAGCAATCAAACACACTGGGCTTATCAGACAGACAGCCGGCCCACAGTTCAGCGCCTCACAGTGGCAGGGCTGAGAAAAGGCATCGCATTTTCCCCTTTCAGAGACATTTGAAATTCAGAATACTGGGGACACAGAATATATTTAAATACATTTGAAGTGAAACACTGGTTCATTTGGAACAGATACAGCTCCCGGAGTGATTTACGGCTCTGCCTCATATCTTTACTCCTTTAAATGACATTAGGAACATAAGCCATTTGGTGTGTTCGAGTAGCT